ACTTTCACTTTACAGTTGTTTCCAGAAGAAGCTTACTGAAGAAACGAAAAAGAAGTGTTGCATGCTGATACGCTGTGTTCTTCTATTTAAGCTTAGTCTCACAAGCTAAGGTATGCCCTTTAGTTTCCTTCTTTAATTTTAATTGGTTTAATATTTTTTCTTTTACTCTTTTTCATTTTCTTGTTTTTGGGTTCGTTTATTCAACAGATACAAGGGTCTCATTCCAAAGGCAAAACAAAAAGAACCATGGACATCCTCACTGGAATTATTTCTAAAATAATCGAGTACACAGTTGAACCAGTTGGGCGGCAAGTGGGTTATCTAATTCACTATAAAAGAAACTTCGAAAATCTGAGGAGCCAATTGGAGAACTTAGATGCTGCCAAAGACAGGATCATGCAAACCGTTAATGAAGAAGAAAGAAAAGGTAAAATAGTCCATAATGATGTCCAGAAGTGGCTGGCAGAAGCGGCTGAGATGAGTCAAGAGGCAAATAAATTATTGGGAGATGAAGGCCAAGCAGAGACAAAGTGTTTCCGTGGTGTATGTCCTAATCTGGTTTCATATCATCAGTTTAGCAGGAAATCAGCAAAATTGGCAAAAGAGATTAAACTCCACCATGACAAAAAAGAGTTTCCCAGTGTTTCTTACGAAGCTCCAGTAGAAGATATATGTGCCATACCCTCTCAAGAATTCATGGCCTTTGAATCAAGGACTTCAAAGCTGAAGCAAATCATGGAGGAACTGAAAAATCCTGATACCAACATGATTGGGGTGTACGGATTGGGGGGTGTTGGAAAGACAACACTCGCCAAAGAAGTTTTCAGGCAAGTTAAAGAAGAGAAGTCATTTGATGATGTGGTTATAATACTTAATGTAAAAGAAAAAAAGGACATGGAAATTCAAAAAGAAATTGCTGTAAAGTTAGGTATGGAAGTGAAGGAAAGTATGGCAAATTGTTTATGGAGCAGGATAAAAGACAAGAAGACTCTTCTAATTTTAGATGATGTTTTGAGAAGAATTGATTTGGAGGCTGTGGGACTTGTCGTTGGCCGGACTTGTAATTTATTGTTGACATCTAGAGATAAGGAAGTTTTATTTTATGAGATGGGTACACAAAAGAATTTTCCGCTTGACCTTTTATTTGAACAAGAAAGTTTGAGTTTGTTTGAGAAGAGGGCAGGTGCTGTTATTAAAGATGACCGTATAGAGGAAGTAGCAAAAGAATTGGCCAAAAAATGCGGAGGTTTGCCTATTTTAGTTGTTGCAGTTGCAAGCGGTTTAAGAGAGGGTTCTTTAGAAGAATGGAAACATACCTTGACGCACTTCAAAAATTTTGAGGAAAAAGGATTGACAGAAAAAGGATTCTTGATAATAGAGTGGAGTTACAATCGATTGCATAGCAAGGAGTTTAAGTGGTTGTTCTTGCTCTGTGGAATAATGGCACAAAGTAACTATGCTTTTTCTCTCTCTGACTTGTTGAAATATACTATAGGTTTGGGTTTGTTTAAAGATGATCGCACAGTGGAAGAGGCACGGAATGCATTGCATTCATTGGTTAAAAAACTTAAAGATTCTTAGAATGCATGATGTTGTACGAGATGTTGCTGTCCGAATTGCATATAGAGATCAACATGTCTTATCAAGAGCTTATACAGAGTTGGATGAAAGTCCAAGTAAAGACTGCTCTCTAATCTCTCTCCGAAGATGTACTATCCCCAAGCTTCCCGATGTACCTTGGGAATGCCCAGAACTGAATTTTTTTTATTTGGGGAGTAGTGACAACTCGCTTGAAATCCCTTGCAACTTTTTTGAAAAGATGAAGGAACTCAAAGTGTTAGATTTAACAAGACTTCATTTCCCATCACTGCCTCCATCTCTCCAATCCCTAACAAATCTTCAAACTTTGTGTTTAGATGGGTGCGTGTTGGGGGACATAGCTCTAGTTGGACAGCTAACAAACTTGAAAATTCTTAGCCTTATACAATCCCAGGTTAAGGAGTTGCCCAAAGAAATAGGGCAATTGACTCGTCTACAATTGTTGGATTTGAGTTATTGCTCTGAACTTGTACGGATCTCACCTGGCGTTATATCAAGCTTGACAAGTCTAGAAGACTTGAGAATGGGAAGCTTTAAGGAATGGGAAGGAGGTTTAAATGATGGAAGAAGTAATGCGAGCGTGTCAGAACTGAAAAAATTGCGTCAACTAACTGCATTACATCTACATATTCCAGATGCCAAGCTTCTTCCAGCAAACATGTTCTCGGATACAAGGTTAGAAATATACACCATACTTATTGGTGATTGTTGGCCTAGATATTCCTTTTTTTACGGAACCTCCCCTAACATGTTAAACCTCAAGCTCACTACGAACAATCAATTCGGCCGAGGTATAAAATTGCTGCTAAAGAGATGTGAACATTTGGACTTGGATGGGATGGAGGCTGCAAATATTATTTCCTATATATTAGCAAGTGACGGTGGTAAACAATTGAAGAATCTCCATGTCCAAAACAATGATGAAGTTACAGCTGTCATTAACTCGAGTCATGCCTTCCCCAACTTGGAGTCACTATCTCTTGACAACCTTGTTAATTTGGAAACTGTATGTTGTGGCCAACTCATAGCTCAGCCTTTTCAAAAGTTACGATCTTTGACTTTGCGGAAACTGCCAAACCTTATTGGTTTGTCCTCCAAAGGCAGCACGTCAGTCGAAAGTACAGAGGCCGAAGAAATCATTTTGGAGAATGAAATTGGTGGACCCACGATACTTTTCATGAATGGGGAGGTACGTTTTGCGGTTTCATTTGCGCGGATTTGTTCTATATTTATTTCTTAACAAATTAGTTGCTTTTGTATATATTTCACTGTGGTCATTCTTTCTGCAGGGATTATGTTGTACAAGGATTTAATTATATCCAAGTTACAATTCATTTAAACGGTATATTAATTTATTAGTTTTTTAATTGAGAAAGAAAAGGTATTAGCATTTAATTAGTGTACAATATTCAATGATTCATATTATGACGAAAGCATGATCCATTCTCTAAAGTTTATTTATAATGAAATATGATCTTCAATAAAAATGTGCATTTAAATGGTATATTAATTTATTAGTTTTTTTATTGAGAGAGATTTTTTTTTTTTTTTTCATTTTGGAATCTATACCACTGATGAGCATGTAAATTGGCATTTTCGTAATTAAACATGCATGAAAAAGTTGACTAAGATAACGGAAAGGACGATTTTTGAAAGTGGAGGGACAATTAAAGTACCACCGTAACAATTTAACAATATGAGGGATGAAAAGTAAAATTTGATCTTAGTCCAGGGAGTAAAGTTTGGTCTTAGTCCATGGACCATTACTACAATTTTGCCATATTTTTATTTTGTATAAGATTCAACTACTAAAAATGTTATTAAGTTATTTACTAAACATGAATTCTGGTGAGCAGGTTCTGATGCCCAACTTAACAAGGTTGGATGTGTATGAATGTGGTGGTTTGAGATTCTTGTTTTCATCTTCCATGGCCAGAAGTCTTGTACAACTCAAAAATCTTACGATATCTAAGTGTCAAATCATGGAAGAGATAGCATCAACAAACGAATCCAGTGAGGAAGATACAGATCATAACATGTTTAGTCAGCTACGAAATCTAATTCTTGAAAACCTTCCGAACCTCACCAGATTCTGCTCAGCACGTCGTTCTATTAATTTTCATTCCTTGGAGATATTGCGTCTAGAGGATTGTTCTAAATTGGAGACATTCATCTTTGATCCCATGAGTACAAATATCACAATCAACAAAGCAATTGAAGAGATCAGGGACTCCACGGAGAATATTGGGACTGATGCACAATACTTTCTTTTTGACGACAAGGTAAGTAATGACTTTATTTCTCGTTTTTCTTTCAGCGTTTATTTCTCGCTATTCTTTCATGCATATTGTTTCTTACTAGGATTGAAATTATATCCAAATTACCATTCATTTAAACGGTATATTAATTTATTAGTTTTTTTATTGAGAAAGAAAAGGTGTTAGCTTTTATTTAGTGTACAATATTCATGAATCATGACGAAAGCATGATCCATTCTCGAAAGTCTGTTTATAATGAAATATGATCTTCAATAAAAATGTGTTATCTATAGCACTTCAACTAGAATATCTTATATTTTAAATTAATAGATTAATAAACTTTGAGGCCAACTTTTCTTTTTCAGTTAATTGTCATATTAGACCTTTTTTTTTGTCTACTCATTTTGGAATTTATACAACTAATTAGCATGTAAATTGTCATTTCCGTAATTAAACATAAATTGTGAACTATACACAGGATCTTATTACCAACTTAATACGCTTGATCTTGGATCAATGTGAAGATTTAAGATTCTTATTTTCATTTTCTATAGCTAGAAGTATTGTCCAACTCACACATCTTGAGATAGATAGTTGTCAAATCATGAAAGAGATAGTATCAACAAGTGGATACAATCAAGAGCATACAAATAACATGTTTTGCAATCTATAATATCTTTCCCTTTCTTTATGCATTTAATTCCAATTAATGCGTCCGCCGTTAGCGACAAAAGGTTTATGAGATGAATATATATACAGGTAGGATTTCCTAGCTTGGAGAGCTTGATCATCCGTCGCCTACCTGTATTGAGGACTATATCTTTGCAAGCTCCTTTTGCAAGCTCAAGAAAGTTGAAGTTTTGAGATGCAACACTCTAATTAATATCTTTGCGCCAAGTATGATGGGAAGATTGAATGCTTAAAAATACAAGAATGCAAGTCACTACAAGCGGTATTTGAACTAACATATGACACATCAACTACGAAACTTTTCTTGAATGGGGAGGTACGTTTTGCGGTTTCATTTGCCCGGCATTTCTATATAACATCCGGATTTGTTCTATATTTATTTATTAACAAATAGAGTTGCTTTTTTATATTTTTCATTTTGTATATTAACGCCACTGAATATAGTATTTAGTTATGCAACTGGCCAAGTGGGTTGACAATGACATCCAGACGTTGATATTATTTCAGGGTAATCCATTCCCCAGCTTGGAAACGTTAACGTTGTACTTGAACACGGAGATTTGGTACGAAGCGCATGATCCACTCCCAGCAGAGTTGTTTATCAATCTAAAAGCGATTCAATTTTCTTGTGCACACCCCCAGTCATTTCATTTCCTCCAAAAATTACATAATCTTGAAAAGCTCGATGTTCGTGGTGTTCCTTGGAAAGAAATATTTGTGTATGAAGGAACTAGTAGCGGGGAAATAGATGCAGTTGGGACGACCCTCCCACACATAAAGAATTTGTCTCTCACAAAAATGGAGGAGCTGATGCATCTGGGGAATGATAACTCCGAATTAATTTTTCCAAACTTGGAAGTTCTTAATGTGTACGATTGTGGCAGATTAAAGAATCTAACTTCATCCACAATATCCTTTCACAATCTAACGACTTTAGACGTGGGTGGCTGTATGGGACTGAAATACTTAGTAACTTACTCGGTAGCTAAATGTTTACACCAACTCAAAACCTTGCAAGTTTGGTCTTGTGAAAGCATCACAGAAATAGTAGCAATCAACGGAGATGAAGAAGATTCTGGAAATTATTACGAGATTGCTTTCAGTTCCTTGCAACATTTGGAACTTTATGATCTACCAAGTCTGCGAGGCTTTTGCTCATCAGGAAATTGCACTGTCAGAGTCCCATCCTTAAACTCTTTAGATGTCTCCGGTTGCCGGATTGAGTTGAAGATTTCCCCTGACGGGTCACTGATCCAAAGTGGTTCAAGACCAGAAAGACAACAAATAACAGAGGAAGTGGAAGAAGAAGAAGATGATGCCAATGAAACGGTAAGTTGTCATTCATATTAATAAAACGTTTGGTTGTATGTTTGGTTGTAATGCTATATATTTCCAGGGGGGAAAGCAGCTGATTGCCCATACAAATTAGTGCTGGAAGACTCCATATTCCATAGTTTGAACTACATCAATTCCTAATTAGTTTCACTGTAAGTACCATTCAATAAGTATGTAGTGGGTACCATTCAATAAATACATTTTTACTTGTTCTGACAATTCTCTCTGTTCCACCCTCACCCAGCTGTTCCTGCCCTTTCCGCCATTGCCGATCTGATTAATGTTAATTGTTCGATACAAGCTTGCAAGCTGCCGCCTCAAGGCACAAGCCCAAGAATTTGGAAATGGTTGTGTGATTTGTGTTGGCATTTAGAGGCATTCCAGTTCCTGTTGTGTTATGCTTGTGTTTCCAATGCCATGTCTATAACTGCTTTGTGATAGAAGTGTGTTTTATATCGGAGCTCTGCTGGTTTTGGGACCTCTCTAGTCTCTACTTTTGGCTTTAGAGATTTGTTTGTCTCTCAGCTCTGCTATTGTGCTGGTTGCAAATGGAGGCTTCATCTGTGAACTCTTTTGTTGAATGTTTTTTTCCTGCTGTGTTCAGTTGCACCAAGTGCTTGGGAAATGCTTACTCTGTGATTTGTGCAATTCAATAAATTGTAATTAAATTCATAAATCTTGGTATTTCTTCCAGTACTCTGCTTTTTTACATGTCTCTTTTGTTGAACCCTCAAACTCATGAAGTTTATCTCAACGACATTTTCTTGAGAGATTGTAACCAAAACTTTTGCATGTTAGAGAAGTTAAGAAAAGCCATGGCATAATATGCTGAATCAAACATACTGAGGTTGTATTACAAAGAACCATAACTAGTTCATAGAAACTTCTTTAGTTTCCAGTGCATATTTATTGATAAAAATTGTCAATAGACTAAAATAAACAAAACAAAATCACCAGACTAAAAGCAAACTTGTCAATGACCATAATGAAAAGAAGCACGTCTAAGAGAAAACAAAAAATGCTATATTAACTGATATCACCCAACTTAAATGTGCTAATATTGAAGAGACCAAAATACTTCCAAAGGCACCCCACACCACGCCCTCAACATCAAAATTTTGAGTTGACTGCCTAATGAGCAGAAAATCTTAGAAAATATAAAGAAAAGGGACAGGTATTTGGAAGGCGCCATTGCACAATATTTCTATGCATCAGTTATTGGGTACTCAAACACAACATCTTTTCCTGAAAGCTTCCTGTAAACTGCAGAAAAGCTCTCCAGCTTGTACTCCGTGTTGTTTCGTTCCTTGGGATCCAAGAAAACCTGCCCAGCATTGAAGATAGATAATTATGGTACTTAACAAACAAAATCCTGCCCCTGACAACCCATGCATGTACTTTACAAACAAAATTATGGTACTTAACAAACAAAATCCATAATAAATCAATTATAATATCCATCCCACCTAAATGTACTAGGTTCTCAATTCATCTATTCCATTGGCAGGCTTTGGACATCTTCGTAACAAAATCTTCTGTTTGGTATAAGGTTCTTAGCCTTCATCTTTCAAACATTAATCAACCCTTTTTTTTCCATTTCCAAGTGTTTGTGTGTGTGTGTGTCTATATATCAAACAATATTTTTTTTCCTTCGACAGCTCACCTTCATTATCTTGGACCCATCAAGTCGATATCTAGTTCGTTTCCCAACAATCTCAGCAGGCAAAACAACATCCTCCAACATTGCCTCATGCACAGCAGTTAGAGTACGAGTGCGGGGCCGTTGGGCAGCAGACCCTTTCTTTGGAGGCCTCACTATCCTCCGTGTGGCGATCAGAACTACATCCTACCACATGACAAACAAAAATAAACACCACCAAAGAAAACCACTATTTGCAAATAAATACATGTCTGAATCAGAGATCCACTCACTTTAATTATAGCAAAAATGAAATAAGAGAAGAAAAAATAAAATGGGTTGACTATAAGAAAAGTCAGCTAGGAAGATCAAAACTAGGAACTAAAAGATAAAAATAAAATATCCTTGATTGTAAGGCACAAAATGTAGTGCCTAGAAACAAGTACAGAAAAACATCACGAAGAACACCTAGTCTGGGTTAAATCTAGATTTCATAAATGGCAGAGAACCAAAGAACTTAAATAATCACCTTTCCACTGAATTTCTTCTCTAGCTCCCTCACAATCCGAACATGGATCTTGCGATAAGCCTTCCTAAGTCTATATGGTATGTGGATAACAACCGCCTTCCGGTTCCCAGCCACATCAACTTGACTGGAGAAAGGAGGAATATTAATCATACAATCGGCAACAGTTTACAATAAATAGTCATTCAGTAAACAGTTCTTACACAGCTGAATTTATATATAGATCCTTCAGTTCACTTTTCAGGTCCGAGTTTGTTTCCAAATCAAAGATTGCCTGCACAGACAACAAACAACTCATGATTATATCTAAACATTATAGCAACAATTTCATCAATAGAAAGCGCAATAAAAAGCTGCATATCTTACCTGTCCAACTGACTCTTCAAATTCAGTGGGTTCAGCATCCTTGTCCTTGTGAATCTTCTTCCTTGACGTATACATCTTGACAAATCTGACTAAACAATAGGAATGAAACATAATTACAACTTTTTTAAAGACATGAAAATCGAGAATACAATGTAGGTTAACCAACCACTCTTGAGTAAACAAAGTAATCATTTTCAAAACCCATACCCAACTGAATCAAGTTTAAAATCAATTCCAAAGTCAGCAGAATAACAAAATATGAGCCCTGGTTAGCTTATTGCTTCAGTATCAGTATCAGTATAAGCAATAGCAAAGGGCTTAGCTCCTTCAAAATCTCAATCACAAACAAAGACAACGCCAGTTGGTTTATCACATTTTCCCGGAAAGAAAACAAAGCAATCAACACAATTTACAGAGACAACGCCAAAAGGCTCCAACCTAAAATTTCTTCTAAATTAAATTTCACAAAAACCAACCAACATACATTTTCCAATCATGGTTTCTAACAATATATCATCCCGTACGATTGCTAAAGAATTCAAACTTTAGTATTTCCTTCGGTGCAGAGGAAGAAATAAAATAAAATAATTCCTGCACTTTCTCTGGAAACAGGGAAATAATTTGAAGGTGATAAAATAAAACGGATTGGTTACTGGATTTACCTCGAGGAGATCAAGAGGCCGAGAGAGATTTGCTCAGAGTGGCTGTAAACCCTAGTTTGGTTTCGGCAGAGAAGAGAATCCCTAGCGATTAAAATAAAAATGGTTCGGATGGATGGAAAGGACGACTGGGTGGTCTATTTGCACAACTGAACGGCTGCGATCAACTGATATTTTTTTTGGAGTGTCATGGTAAAAAACATATATATTTTGGGGTTAGAATAAACATCAAATTGTCAACATTAAACAAAATTCTTTTTTTAATACAAGTGATAAATTACCCAATAAAAATTCACTTTATAACTTATATCTCATGAATGCTCTGTGAATTTGTTAGAAGCTCTCTTTTCTTTTCTTTTCTTTTTTTTTTTTTTGAAAATAAACGATGTATATTATTGATAAACAAACAAAAGTATAAAGTAATTATGTACTGAATATGAATATATTGAATTGATCTAAAGAGAATCACGCACAACCAAAATAATAACTAAATCCCCAATCCAACAACTAGAAGCACATGTAACCAGAAGTTCTCTTTTCAATTCGCAAACTTGCAAATTAATCAATCTAGTCCACACAAAAATTTGTTCCATATCATTAAATTTCATCTGAACTTTCGATGAAATTAGTACTTTAAAGAGGTAACAAAATAAAGCTCTGTCTTTTACTCATACCGCAGCCCCCAACACCACAACTTTTGCATCCAAATCTCCACCATTAAAAAAAATACCAAATAAATTTCAATGAGCTATAAATAGGCTTGATTCATTCAAACGACATGTACCGAACAAGGAATCCATTATAAGTGTAGCCACAAAATCAAACAAATTCACATTCCCGACTATGCACCTTTGTAATTTTAATCAAAATGTGTTTTATTTGTGTCAATTATAACAAGGGGTCGTAATTAAAAGATACTTTATCTTGAATTGGTCCAGCTTAAATAAATAAAAACCTTTGTTCCTCGTGAATATTAGTGAAAAATTGTATTCAGAGTAGTTTGTTCGTTATTGTAAAGTTCCCCAACCCAAGGCATTGCTTCTTGTTCGTAAAAAATTCATGTTATCTTCATCAGCTACTTAGAAAATGTGATAGATTGGTTGGTAATGGTGGTTGCTGTGAAACAACCCGGCTATAGATATTAATCCAAAAACTTCTTGTCATGGCCTCCAAAGCACCCCAAAAAAATTGCTTATTTTGAGATGTTTTGGAAACTATAGAATGTTTTTATCAGTAGAAGTTTAGGTTGTAAGCTTTTTTTGGAAACTATGGGATGTTTACATCAAGCTAGAATGGCCTACCTAGCTGCTTCCTCCTGCTTTCTCTAACCACTTAGTCGAAGAATGAAATATCTTTACTGCGGACATTTGAAGCTCCAATGACCATACCAGTAACAAAGATCATGCTTTAGTGAAGTTTATAATACAAGATTCTAGTGGAAAACCAATTCTTGCAGCAAGGAGCAATTTGGGTCAAACATCTAATCCAGCTGAGGAATGTTCAATGTAGAACTTCAAAAGAACTTTCAAATTAAAAGAATATGAATTAATAGTTGAAGCTCAGGCCATTCGGCTTTGTTTTTTACAAAATTGAGTCAACCAAATCCCTAAAACTACCTGCTAAGTAGACCCTTTTTCTCCTAGTGAAGGGAAACACACCCTCTGAGCACCATCTATCTCAAAATTTCTGAAAGCTTCCAAGACCCACATATACATACTAACCTGCCTACAAGAAAACTGCAACGCTGATGAAAATTTCAATTATCAGTACAATGCTTGTAAAAGCATTGCTGTGAAGGTTGTAGGCGGAAGAATCTACACTTGTGGAATTCAATGATGGAGCTGTGATATTTACCAAGGTGCCATTCTTGCCAAGACTGTGAGCACAAAATAATAATAATCAAGATTCAAATGGTGCCATAATTGTTTTGTACCACCAAAAAAGAAGTTAATTGCTCATCTAGCTAAGTGTAATATATAAGCAGAATTTTACCTTCCTGGAAATATGCAGGATCCATGGCCTGCATAATTGGAACAGAATTGTTAACATTGATGCATAACTGATAATAGTTTTTAATAAATTGAAATAGAACCTACAACTCGGAGAATGTTGCATGCTGTACAGTTGAAGTCTTACTTGGATCTGTTGTGGTAATTGCAGCCACTCCATTGAAGTCGCATGCCGCCGGAGTCTTCCCCATCTTATGATAGTAGGTATCAAACGCATATGTTGCATGTGCAATCACGTTATCAGGTTCGTAGCATGGTTCTCCCTGCAATAAAGCTGAGCAATCCACCTTGCCAGGTCCACAAGCCCAATCTAGTGCAGCCTGAAGCATCTTTGGATCAGCGCCATCCTTTGTAATACAGAAAGTTTGGTTCGTAGTATCATTTGATAATACTGCTCCTGATCCTGTCAAACGCAAAATGTAGATAGGTGTCCCATTTGCATCAAACAATCCCCAGTTCTTCTCTGAGATGGGTCCAGGTTTCGTATCTTCTGTCACTATTATCGGAACGTTAGTGAAGTTAAGAAAAGCCATGGCATAATATGCTGCATCAACCACAGCATCAAAAACATTAGTGTAATGAAGAAGCGTATTGGAATCAACAGCTTCTTTGTTTGGAGGGAGGGACTTGAAGAGTGCATAATCTAATGGAATGACACCATTTGATTGCATGTAATCGTAGTATGGGTATATATTGAGCATGAGAAACGATCCTGTGGACTGCAAGAAAGTAAGCATGGGGACCAAAACTGGATTCAATGAACGGTTAAAGAAGGCTTGGGAAGGTGGGAAGGAATCAAGGATAATGGAGGAAGAAAGAGGAGTTGAAACTTTGATTTGGCGGTCAAGATTGGATGCCACAAGGGCTGATTGAATGTACTTGAGAGCATTGACAAGAATTTTTGCAGCATTTGGGAGGGTGGTAAGAACGTCTGACCCAACAGCTATGGCTGTGATGTTTGTGGCTGGGTAATGTGCTACCACATTCTGAGATACCCAATTGGCTGCAGTGGAATTAGATTGACCAATTCCAAGGATTTGTTCATTAGGAACAGAAATCATAACTTGAATGCCAGTATTTGCAAGTGCAACTAGCATGCCACGGTCAGCATCATATAACCGGACATGTCGAATTTGCTGAGCTTTTAGTAGGGCTACTACTTGTGTTGGGTGTGGCATGTCTGACAGATCTGTTCCTATGTTCACGCCAATAAATACATCTGCAAAAATGAATTCACGGTAATTGATTTGTTATAAATCTAAAACATAAATCTAAGTTCAAGTTTCAAGTAATAACACACAGATGGAAGGAAATGAAAGCAGCATCTAGCAGAACAACTTCAACTTCTTTTCAAATCTTAGTTAAATTTTAACCTAGACACTATTGAATGCTTTAGTACTCTTGAGAACCAAATACTCATGATTTCCAAAAGTTTCGAAAATAGGCCTAAGTCTAATAGAGAAGGAGAAGAGATTCTTTGGTGAAAGTTTGGGTTGGTTTGTGAAGATTATCTTCAAGAACTAGACAACCAAATGTCAAAATGACACAGCCATTGACCAGGATTTGCATGCAGTACAAGGCACACCTGTATAAGAACTCAAGACTGTTTTAACTGAATGACTATATAGAAATTTGTTTTATCAAGTATATGCAATTTTTTTTTGTGACTAAGATTGGATAATATAAAATCCACTAGGACCTGCCAATTTCCTTCCCTCGCATATTAAAACTGTAGTAGTGAACACCATGATCACCCAAAGTGGTAGTGGACCTAATTGAGGTGATTAAGTAGCATAAGTCACTGAACAAATTGTACAAGAAAGAAAGTAAACATTCCATTTAGGTTGATATAATGCCAAAAAATTTAAGATTATCAAACCTTTATATGATCATGGAGTGCGCGACTGGAATGAATCAAATAAAACATCATAATGCCAAAAGAAAATAAACAAATAAAAATTCAAGATTCTCAAGCCTTTATTATGATCATGGAGTGCACTACTAGAATGAATCAAATAGAAGACCGTAACTTGACATCTAGTCTTCAAAGCTCACCCAGACAAAGATTTACATGACATGAATCTAGCATTTCTAATTAAACTGCCTAATGATAATCTGATCATGGTGATAGGAGACCAAAAATCTGTTAAATGGTGTCCACACGATAAACAATAAAAACATCATCATCCGTTCACTTTAGAAAAATCAAAAGATGACTATGTCATGCATCTAGTTTTATCTTTTGTCTCTCTTAGTAATACAAAATTTTGAAACAGGGTGAAAATTCATAAATTACCCGTTCTTACCATATATGGAAAAGAAAAAAGTAATGGTACATTAAGAATATACAAAGAAAAATAAATTTGAATTACTGATTCACTTTAGAGTATACAATGTTAAGGCACAATTTAACCCTCTAAGTCCCTTATAAACTCAAAGTGAAGTAACAATTTAACACCGTTTGTTCATTCCACTCGGTCCTACAAATATTCCTGTGGCGTGTTTCAAATGTTTTCCCTGTGTCATAAGAGACACAAAGTGTTCTGCAATAAAATGGGAGCCTTGTGAGGAACAAAAGAAAACGAAGCAAATTGACTGGGTGTATTTTGGTTAGCTTTATTGAGAAAAACTAGGTAGACCATTATTCCGAGGTGTCACTAAACTAATCCAAGCAGGCACTAGACTTAGGAAGCAATACTTATGGCCATATGCTATATAATATTGAGTAACTGAATACAGCAGGGTATGTCTCCATAATCCACAAAGTTCTAAGCAGAAGTGCCCAAATTCTGTAAACTTTGACCATTTGCGCTAAAACCAAGGTAAAAAGGGTAACAAAAACTACCCCATGAGCTGGAAGACAATGGAAATGTCATATTATTATTATAATACACTACTGTATCTGAAGATGGCACAACTTCAGCTTCATGTGCACAATCTCATATGTGCCTTTGATTTTTATTTGAAAACAACTGCAAATATGAGATGGTGAAAATGCAATTTCAGTACATTTAGGCATATTAAATAGTGCAAGGATTGTTGTTGGAAGATTATCTACAACATCAGGAGCATTGTCACTGCCAAAGTGAAGCAGAGCAAACTCATACACAAAACAAAATGCAACAGGACACTTCACACCCTAACTTTCCTCTCTCAGATTCTCTTCCTGTAAGAGGGAGATTTTAAAATTACTGTGTTCTTCTTTTTGCCTCCGGAACATCACTAAATTTCCCCTGTAAGAACAGAAACTCATGTGGGTTTTGAGGGAGGAAGTGAAAGAATGCCTCCGGGAGAACATATGAAGATAAATTAGATAAACATCAGCATCATAGATTCATGAACTCTAAATATTAACATCAAACAAGTAAATTGTCACATAAAAAAACCAACAATGCTGAGAAATGTGGAGGCCAATCCTTCAAATAAAACCCGAACACATTCAGAGAAACCACGGCAAAGTAAAATAGCAAATAAAGATCCAACCTTCATCAGCTGTAGCAGCTGAAACTGCTATAAGTAGAAGCAGAAGCCGCCCAGCCGTAGCTTTACTACCCAGAAAACCCATTAAAGAATCTGAAGCAAACCCAAACCCAACAATGGAGAGAGAGAGATGAGTGTTAGAGTGGAAACAAAAGAAGCCCAAGTGAAGAAGTAAAGTGAAGCAAAGAATGGATTAAAGTTGCAGGGGAATATATGATATAATTCGGGAACTCTGACGGATGAGTGAGGGGGGGGGGCCCACAAATCACGTGGCAATAATATAAGCAAATCGAACGGTCAAGGAATCATCTGATAGCAGTAATGATGATGAGTGCAAAGTTGACAGTAAAAGCAAGCAGGAGGTGTTGGTAGTCCAAGTTAATGAGGAGGAGCCCAAGGACGACCTGGAAGTGATCTTCTTGTTTTTTTCTTTTTGGAAATTAAATGAATCTTTCTTTCTTCTGTGCTGTTGGGTACCGTTGTGAAATCAAATAGAAATAAGCTGATTGCTTTTGCTTTTGTGCACTCACTGCAGACGACGTTGTTTTTGTTGCAATTGTCTTGTAATTTTTGTATTATTGTACTGTAGAACTGTACTGATATTTGTCTCTTTCTGTTGGCTTTTTGTATCTGCATGCAATACAAACAAAGGACACCCACCAGCGGCAGCGGGAACCCCGAAATATATGACCCACCCAGTTAGCTGGTCTGGTCCCAACGGTCATATTTTCCGTCCTTTCAACTTTCCATTCAATTCATTGATCATTTTCGTTCAACTCATTCCATCCAATGCTCAATTAATTCGAATCGATCCGTAAATGTATGGTTCATTGAGATTTATTTCAAAATTTTCCTATTTTATTACTCATTTTGCCATTTAAAATAGATATAGCAATTTTAAAAAACTCCTAATTTAATGCATCTTTAATTACTAATTCAAATTTTGAATTATAAATTAGATCCCCACACTATGAAGGTGCTATGAGTATGGCTGGAATTTTCATCCAACAAACCGACTTATCTAACCCAACTTTTGAGCCCAAAATTGTCTCCAATCTTGTTTAGTATTTGGGCGATTTTTTGGATTGATCCAACTACATCGATTATCAAATCAATTTTGAATACCTAAAGAACCAACAATAACCCAAACCGAACAGACATAGCAAAAAGGAGTAAATATGTGAAAAGTTGGAGTCATGAGGTTTCAAACCTTGCAAGGGCTTATAAGGAGTTAGGCTACTCCCCTCATTGCCAATTAGTTTTGGGGTTTTTTACCTTCACATTCTCACACACCTTTGCACGTGTGACGAATTTTCAAGCCTAGCACATGTACAACACATATTGGATGACGTGGAGTATGTGTGGCCATTGGGCTTTCACACGTGGACTAACCCGCTCTAATACCATGAAGAAAGTTGAGGTTCCACCCCAAAACCAATTGGCAATGGGGGGGAGTAGCTCAACTCCTTATAAGCCCTCGCTAGGTTTCATAACTTTCCAATGTGGGACTTTTTACTTTTACATTCTCACACACCCCCGCACGTGTGGCGAATTTTCAAGCTTAGCACGTGGACAACACATATTGGGTGACGTGGAGCACTTGTGTCAAGAGCCAGCATCACTCAAGCTCTTTCTTGATTCTCTTACTTCCGCTCTTCAATTCCTGCTTCAATTCTTCAATTCTTCAATTCTTTCTTCAAATATTTCTTGACATTAGGGATTTGCTGCGCTTCGGGATTTAACACTTCTTATGGCGTCGTCTTCATCAATAAGGGTTGAAGGTCTCTTGGGTATGGTTACAATTCGTCTTCGTGATGCCAATTTTCTTAAGTGGAGCTTTCAAATTGAATCTCTACTCCAAGGCTATGATCTCTTCGGCCATTTTGATGGCTCGATTATTCATCCTCCCAAATTCACGATTCTTGATGAAATTAAATATTCATTTCATTCTTCAATTATGGATTTCTTGAAATTAGGGATTTGCTGCGCTTCGGGATTTAACACTTCTTATGGCGTCATCTTCATCAATAAGGGTTGAAGGTCTCTTGGGTATGGTTACGATTCGTCTTCGTGATGCCAATTTTCTTAAGTGGAGCTTTCAAATTGAATCTCTACTCCAAGGCTATGATCTCTTCGGCCATTTTGATGGCTCGATTATTCATCCTCCCAAATTCACGATTCTTGATGAAATTGGCGTCACTTCTGAGGTCACTACTGCTTATAGGGATTGGTTGTGTACTTCTCTTGAGTTTTCTGATTGCCACTCTCTCTGATGAGGCACTTGAATATGTCATTGGCAGCAAGACCATGCGCTAGGCATTGCTTCAACTTTCTAACTGCTATGCTACTATGTCGCTGGCTCGGATTAATCATCTCAAAACTGAGTTGCAGACTGCTCAGAAAGATGCCGACTCCATTGAGCGATTTCTTCTTTGGCTTAAACACATTCGCGATCAGTTGGCCTCTGCTGGGGTGACAATTTCAGATGATGATTTTATGATCACAGTATTAAATGGCTTGCCATCGGAGTATGACATGATCAAGACTGTTCTTATTGCTCGTGACTCTTTGATCTCCTTAAAAGATTTTCGTGCTCAGTTGCTTGCTGCTGAACAGACTGCATAAGCTTTTTTTTCATACTCACCATGCTCTGTATATGTCTTCTAACTCTTCTCACGGTCAGGGGTTGCTGCATCTTGGTTCTTCTTCTATTGGTATAGGTTTACTTCCTACTCCTCATGTTGCCTATATAGGGTCTCATGATGCTTCTGTTTTTAATAATCGATTCTTTGGTTCTCAATCTTTCTCTAGCAATGGTCGCAGTTTTGCCTATGGTAACGGTAGAGGTTTTGCCTTTGGACGAGGTCGGTTTTACAGACTCAGCATCCATGTTCCACTTTTCATATAGGGTTTTCTGGTAATCAAGCAAGATTTAGGGGGTCTTCTTCCAAATTCTTTGTTGTTCCGGAATGCCAGATTTGTGGCAAACGTGGCCATACTGCCATGAATTGTTATCATCGTCATGATTATGACAATTCTAAGCTGTTTGGGTCAATCATTGCTTGCCAAATTTGTGGTAAAAAGGGTCATGGTGCTTTGGATTGCTTCCATCACTCAAATTATGTCTATCAAGGTCAAGCTCCACCATTCACTATCTCTGCTATGGCAGCTCACAGTTCTTATATGCCTACATATGCTTATGCTCATATGTCAACTCTTTTGAGACAAGAGATGGCATATCATGTTTAGATTGCAGACAATGGAGCTTCCCATCATATGGTTGTTGATGTCTCTACTCCGCACGATGTTACGCCCTGTGATTCCACTGATCAAGTGACCGTGGGGAATGGTGAATGTATGAATATAGCAATATTGTCAGTACTGCTTTGTCTTGTGCTTCTACTTCCCTTAAAATGCCTTCTGTTTTTCATGTTCCCAAGCTCTCTGCAAATCTTTTATCTGTGAACCAGTTATGCAAAGATAATCATTGTATCATAAGCTTTGATTCTGCTGGTTTCTGTATACAGGACAAGACAACAAAGGTAATTCTTCTAAAGGGCTGATTCTGCTGGTTTCTGTATACAGGACAAGATAACAAAGGTAATTCTTCTAAAAGGCTCTAGCTGTAATGGCTTATATCCGATTCCTTGTAAAGTTCCATATGCCCGGTTCTCGTTTTCTAGTCCAACCGCTTATCTTGGTCAGCGTGTGAGTTTTACTACATGGCATCAGCGATTGGGTCATCCAACAAATGAGGTGGTAAAGCTTATGCTTAGAGATTCTAACATGGTTGTCTAAGAAGATGCACAGTTTGATTTGTGTCCTTCATGTCTTCAATGCAAGATGCACGAGCTGCCTTTTTCTAGTAGTCATTTTAAGACATATATTCCTTTTTCTAAGATACACAGTGTAACATCTCACATAGACCAACGAATAGGGGGTGATGTGCCTTATATGTACATGCCCACCTCCATCTAGCACGAAGCCTTTTGGGAGCTCATTAGCTTCGGATTCCATGGGAACTCCGAAGTTAAGCGAGTTTAGGCTAGAGCAATCTCAGGATGGGTGACTCACTGGGAAGTTGCTCGTGAGTTCCCAGAAACAAAACCGTGAGAGCGAGGCCTAAAGCGAACAATATCGTACTACAACGAAGCCGATCCGGGATGTGACAGAATGGTATCAGAGCCACTCTGTCTTGTGGTACGAGTATGCCGATGAGGACGTCAGGCCCCTGAGGGGGGTGGATTGTAACATCTCATATCGACCAACGGAGAGGGGGTAATGTGCCTTATATGTACATGCCTACCTCCATCTAGCACAAGGCCTTTTGGGAGCTCACTGGCTTCGGATTCCATGGGAACTCCGAAGTTAAGCGAGTTTGGGCTAGAGCAATCCCAAGATGGGTGACCCACTGGGAAGTTTAGGAAACCGACAAGTTCTTCGTGGGATCGACCCCGTACTTACATAATCTATACTTCGATAGATTCGTGCACTTGCGGGTTTTTTTAATTGGTTGTTTGCACATTAATTTGTGTCCTTTTAGGAATGCAACAGCGAGTATATTAGCAAAGCATTTACTGACTTCCTTACTAGTCATGGTATTTTGCATTAGCTTACATGTCCATACACCCCACAGCAGAATGGTATGGCTGAGAGGAAAAACAGACATGTTGTAGAGACTGACCTAACTCTCTTGACTGCTGCTAATATGCCTGGACAGTTTTGGTATCATTCTCTCACAAATGCAGTATACTTAATAAATAGAATGCCAAGTCAGTCCTAAAAGCAGCAAGCTCCTTATTTTTGTATGGCAAGCAACCAGAGTTACAATCTTTAAGAATATTTGGCACTACTGTATATCCTTATGTCAAACCGTATAATGTGCATAAGTTTCAACCTCGAACCACTCAATGTGTATTTTTGGATTATTCTTCAGGGTATAAAGGTGTTTTGTGTTATGATATAGTCACTGGCAAGTTTTTGATATAGTCACTGACAAGTTTGTCATCTCCAGACATGTGATTCATGATGAATCTATTTGGCCTTTCAAGTCATTACGGCTCAGATCAATGTCTGCCTCTGTTTCTGAACCTCCAGTAGCAATGCCACCTATTTTCTTTCCTTTGCCTTTGCAAGAAGATTCACCTCATGCTACAACAGTCGCACCGCCAGCTTCTTCAACATTGTCTTCCTCTGAAATCTTCTCATCTTCTACTTTTGCATCCCCTTTTGAACAACAATTAAGTGGTTCAGAATCAGTTCTTGTTCCAGAGGTTCATCATCCCCTTTTAGGTGATCCTCACCTGCTAGTTTTACCTCCTCTTGAGCATTCATCTTCGGGTACTTCCTCTTCTGATTCTTTACCTATCTTTCCTATTAATACTCATCCCATGCATACTAGACTTAGGGATGGCATAGTACAGAAGAAACAGTTTCTTGACTATGTGGGGTATTATACATGTTTGAATGCTCGTATTGAATTAGATGAACTAGTAAACCATAAGGTAGCCTTTTTTTTTTTCTGCACAATGGAAACATGCTATGCAAAAAGAGATTGATGCCTTGCATAAGCAAGGTACTTGGAGTTTAGTTCCTAATCCTGGAGATAAAAACATTGTTGGTAGTAAGTGGATTTACAAGATAAAGAGGAATTCTGATGGTTCTATAGCTAGGCATAAAGCTCGGTTGGTAGCTTAGGAATTCAGTCAAGAGCAAGGCTTTAATTTTAGTGAAACTTTCAGTCTTGTAGGATGCCACACCACTGTCAGGTTAATACTAAGTCTAGATGCAATGAATAAATGGCAGTTAAGGGATTCAGTTAAGAGCAAGGCTTTGATTTTAGTGAAACTTTCAGTCCTGTAGTGCGCCACACCAATGTCAGGTTAATATTGAGTCTAGCTACAATTAATAAATGGCAGTTAAGACAACTTGTTATTAAGAACGCGTTTTTACATGGTGAATTGGAAGAAGAAGTGTTTATGAGGCAGCTACATGGGTTTGCAGATCCACGTTATTCTGATTTTGTATGCAAGCTTAAGAAATCATTGTATGATTTGAGGCAAGCTCCAAGGGCTTGGAATGCCAAATTCACCGGATACTTACCAGCTATAGGTTTTCAAGCTTCACAGTCTGATCCTAGCTTATTTGTCAAACATTCAGATTCAGAGGTTGTAATTCTCTTACTCTATGTTGATGATATCATTCTCACAGGTTCTAATGAGAAGATGGTTCAACTTGTGATTGATGAGTAAGTTCTGTATTTGAAATGAAGGACTTGGGTAAGCATTGTAGGGGCTCTCCAATATTTGACGTTTACAAGACCATACCTTGCTTATTATGTCAACTCAGTGTGCCAATACATAAATCAACCTACTAATCTTCATTGGCATTTGGTGAAAAGGATTCTCAGATATGTGCAAGGTACTCTAGAGTATGGCCTGAGTTTTACAGCTGGTGATATGAATCTCTCTGCAAATAGTGATGCCGACTGGGCAGGAGACATCAACACTCGAAGGTCTACAACGGGCTTTGTGATTTTTTTAGGCAGCAATCATAAAAACAAGGCTCTGTTTCAAGAAGTTCTACAGAGGTAGAGTACAGGGCTCTAGCCAATACTACTGCTGATTTGGCTTGGATTCGACAGGTTTTAAAAGATTTAAAGCTTTATCTACAAGATCCTCCAGTTGCATATTGTGATAATTTGTCTGCTTTGGCTCTTAGCTCAAATCTAGTATATTATTCCCGAATTAAACACTTGGACATTGATTTCCATTTTGTAAGGGAGCGAGTGCAGAAAAAGGGTTCAGTATGTTTCAACCGATGAACAACTAGCTGATGTCTTTACCAAGGTTCTATGTGGTCCTATCTTCGCACAACATTATGCTTATCTTAGGTTAAGAGAGTTACCTAAGTAGGGAAAATGTTAACTATGATTAGTATGTTAACTATGATTAGAAAGTCAATAAGTTTGTTACAAGTCTGGTACTTAGCACATGTATTAGTTAGGCAGCTAAGCTATGTGGTTAGTCGGTTAAGTCCCTCTGTAATCTGTTTACATAAGAGTGGGCTATGCTTTGTAAGAGACAATTGATTGAAATCACAATACAGAAATCCTCTAGTCTTCTCCATTTCTCTTTCTTTGATATCTCTGAATTTCTCCTCTTCTTTTCTTTCTGTTATCACCTCTTACCTCCGACCAACATATTTAGCCTTTTTACTACTGCACCACATGCCTTAGTGGATAAACATTGTATAACTAATATCTTTAATGTATATACTTGAACAAAAAAATTTTTTTAAAAAAATAAAGAAGATATAAACCCTAACTCCAAATTGGTTCAACAATGATAACGCCAGGAATCTCTTCTCCCTCTCTTCTCTTTTCCTAGGAATCTCTCTCTCATATCCTATGTTTTCAAAACCGAATTACCGAATAACACCAAATTGGTTGATAACATCCCTCTGACAGGTTGGCGACGGTTCCAATTTTACATATACCGACGACCTTTGGTCGGTGCTCGATTGTATCTCATCAATTTGATTATCGAATCAAACCCAGTCCTTACTCCGAGGATTCGAACATGAGACAATTAGTTTGCAAGTCAATGTAATCGAATCGAAACTTTGAGGATTCAAACATGAGGCAATTAGTTTGCAAGTGAATATCATTTTTCACTTGGCTAGACCCCTTTGGCGAATTATGAATTAAATTTGAACAACTATTGATGCATTCACAACTAAGCAATATTGAGAAAAAGAATAAAAATCATATTAAAACAGGCACAAATAATATAACATACCTATATGTTTGGACACAAAATAATGAACCTCAACTTAACTTTTTTTTCCTGATTAAAAAAAAAAGACATGACCTTTTTTTTTGTTGAAGAAACCTAGACATATATTAAAACATTTTAATAAACTCAATATGTAATCATACCTACATTATGTAAAAACTTGTATATATTTAAACATATAAATACAAACTCTCTCTTAAGGTGAAATTGTGAGCTTGCACTACAGCCGCCGCCCCCCACTCAGGGTGGGCGGCTTCCCCATCTTCCCTCTTTCTCTCCTTATCTCTCTTTCTCCTTTCCTAGTTTTCTTCCACTCTCCTCTTCTCTCTCCAGATTCGTTTGGATTTTAGGTCATCTTGCCTAGATCTATTTGTATCTTGTCTTTTGTTTGTTTGTTTGTGTGTTTTCTATTGTAGGTCCTTAGTGACTTTTATTGTTCTTGGATTTGTCTTGTTGTCGCTGGGATGGCTGCAATGTGGTGTTGTCAATCCAGCTTTTTCTTTGGGTTTCGTTGTGTTTTTTAAGCAAGTACTGCAATCCACCGTAGATGCCATGATTTTGTTGCAACTTTTGGTCAACTCACATGGATTTTGCTCTAGTTAGTGTTTGGAGTTGGAAAAGTGATTGTTACCAGTTTATGTAGGATCGGGTTTTGCCTATGCAAAATAAGAGGTCCAGCCATGTTGGTGGTATGAGTGTCTTTGGTTTGCTGGAGAGGATGTGGTGCGGTGTCTTTGTTTCTGTGTTTATTTTAGTCTAATAATTCTCATAAACTCAATAGGAGTTTGTTGATGTTTGTATTTAGTGTTCGATTTTTTTATGCGGATTTGCCGTTACTACCGTTGCGCAGTGGATCTGAATACAGGTGCTTTTGTCTGCCGAATTGGAAGTTTTAGGTTTTTCTGGCATGCGTAATTCTCTCCATATCAAACCAATTTATTTTTGTGTTTGGTCACTGGAGATGTTGTACTCATATTTGTCATTGCGACTATTCTGTACTTTTTTTCTGTGTTATCAATAAAATAAATACATGTTCGACTACATATTAAATAAATAAATAAAACTTTATATTATAATTTATAAACTAAATATTAAAAAAAAAACATCTCCAACCGCCCCACATTCTTCCCCAAACCCCAGCACCCCATATTCTCCTCACCGCCACCCAGCCACCCTACCCCCACTACTCAATAAATAGGGGGACTCTAAAGTCTCCTCACATTCTCTCACTTCAACCCTCATTCGAGAATCGAGATTCGGCCACCTAAAGAAATCAAAATTAAGATTCTTGACTCAACTTTCTTCAAACTAAAATCTGGTTAGTTCTTCTTCTCCCAGGTAATTTTAATATGAGATATTTAGTCAAATGCCAATTCTTAGCACTAAAACTATAAATAAACCCTACACTATTTAATTTCTATAAACAAACCCAAAAAATGATAGTTGTCCCTATTAAATTTAATTTTGATTATTAAATTAGTTTGATGCCCTATTGAGTGTTTTGGGCTTTTTTTTATGAGGTTTTGGGGTTGAGTTTGTTTTAAAAATCAATGGCAATTTTGTAATTTAAAAGAAGTTAAAAATCTTTTTGTTTTGTTGTAAATGAGTTTTGGGTGTGTTTCTAAAGTCCATTTCATATAGAGGTTTTTTAATAATTTGAGCTCCTACATTGGGTATAATAGTGAATCTCCCTTTTAATATTTATATATAAGGGTTTAAGAAATTGCTTATCAGTTTTCGTTTTAAATCTTCCCATTTCTTTTTCATTAGTCATTCACTTGGTTTCCATTAGCTATTTCTGCAACTACTCCTCGCATTTCAATCACAGTTGTTTGCTCTTTCTTTGAATTTGTCTGAGGTTGAGGGGATGTTTGGGTATTTAGGTTTTTTTTTTCAATTAAGTTTTTTTTAATATGAAAATGACGGTATTGCCCTTTGATATATGTCAAGAAAAACAAGGATTGGAATTGTACTGTAAATCATACATTCCGTGAGCAAAATTTTGATTCTGATGCCTTGTCTACTAGAAGCCTTGATTCTGACCTTGGGCTTCATCTTTATAGTACAGTGCCTCATTTTCTATTGGAGATTATAAAAGCTGGTGCTATGGGTCCTATGTTGCACAGATACGAATATGGGTACAGTGATACGATACGCCGATATGGTAAGTCTTCAAAAATTAGAATACGAGTACAGCGGCGATACGATATGATACGCCAATATGAAAAATCTCCAAAAATTAGGATACGGGTATGGCACTGATACGGCGATTAAAATAATATAAATAGAAAATTCGTATACATTATTCATTTCCCATCACTAGAACAAATGAAGTTTGATAATAATAAAAAACAATTAAGAATTTAATACATATACAAAACAATTAGCAAGCTACTAGCCACTAGGCAGCTATTTCCAAAATATTTTAAAGAATATACTCATATTATCTAATTAACTAAACTTTCAACTTCACAAATTAACCACACAACAACTTATTAAAGAAACTCATATACCTATTATCTAATTAACAACACAGTTATTAAAAGAATAAGAAGGTAAGAAACCCACCCAACCGAACCAAATGAATCTGAGATGGTGACGGAGATGGGTGCGACCAGTGGCAGATCCACCATGGGGTCAATGGGGTCAAACGACCCCATGGCAGAGCTGGAAATGGCTTGGAGGTCCCTTGTTGGCCTTGGCAGCCATGGGAGATGACCCCATGGAGAAGAAGAAATTCAAGCTGCCAGGGAGAAGAAAGAGGGAGGAAGAAGAAGAAGACAGTGATTGAGAGAGAGAGAGAGAGAGAGAGAGAGAGAGAGAGAGGGAGGAAGAAGACTGGGATTGAGATGGAGAAGAAAGAGGGATTTCGACCAAAAAATAAGGAGAAGAAAGAAGGCACTGCAAACACAAATAATAATAAAAAGGAAGAGATCTGTTAGGCCCTGTTTGGTAGGTTGGACTAGACTGGATGTTTTAAATTAAAATGAACATGGATCCTAGCCATTGTTTGGTGAGCTTAAATTAGTCTTGGATTGGATATAGGCATGGGATCCATGTCCCAAATAACTATAGCTCCAGAACCCAAGCCCAGATGTGGGTTTAGAATCCAAGTCTTTTCCAGAGACACGCCTCTTCTCTCTTCTCTCGGCGAGAACGTCTCCTCTCACCAGTTTCTTCTCTTCTCTCTCTTCCCCTCTCTCTTCTCTCTTCCTCTCTTTCTGTCTTTGTGATTTTCTCCTCTTTTTATTTTTTTTCTTTTTTTTCTAGAGCCCCTTTCTTCTTCCATTCATCTTCAAGCCCAGATGTGGGTTTACAATCCGTGTCTTTTCCATAAACACGCCTCTTATCTCTTCTCTCGGCAAGCACGCCTCCTCTCATCAGTTTCTTCTCTTCTCTCTTCCTCTCTTTCTGTCTTTGTGATTTTCTCCTCTCTCTCTCTCTCTTTTTTTGTTTTTTTTTCTTTTTTTTCTAGAGCCCCTTTTCTTCTTCTGTTCTTCTATTCATCTTCTTCTCAGATGCTATCTCATATTTCAAGCAATCTTCTCACTTCAATCTCTCTCTTGGAAATAGGAACAAGAAAAATGGAAGGAAAAGGGTGAGTTTGATGCGAAGACCGCCGTAATAGGGTTTTTTTAAATATTTTATAATTATGTTGCCTCTGAATTGATTAAATAATAAAAGTATACATAAATTGAGTAAAGATATCACTTACCATAGTGGCCACTGAATTGATTAAAACTTTTTGGTCATGGGTTCAACACCCATTGTGCTCTTTTTGTTGGAATAAGTTTGGTGTGTTTTTAATTTTTTTAGCATTATTTTTTTCCTAAAAAAAAATTTAGAACTTTAACACTGTGACCCCATGGGGTAACAATCCTGGATCTACCACTGGTGCGACGGAGATTACTGGTGGGTTCTCTTCCTTCTTCTTCTGTTTTGGTTGCCTTCTTATTCACCCAAAAGACCCAGCTTCTCGACAACATAGGGTCTTTGAAATTCTAAATTTTAAGTTTACATTTTAACCTCAAATATTCAATAATCTTTAAAATCAGCCCCAAATTTTCAAAATATTTCCTCTTTTACCCCTTGGCGTATCGCGAACGTATTGTGACCGTATCAATGGAGTATCGGAGCTGTATCGTAAAGTCAACAGTCCAGAAAAGTCTACGATACTCCACGTGGTGTATCGGGGCCGTATATTGGATACGCACATACCCCCAAAATAGAATTCTCCAGACGGCGTCGTATTGCCTCCTAGTTTGGTTGTTGTGTTGGTCTTTTAGGCCCCCTGTTACCCCCAAAAAAAAAAAAAGGGGGGTGTGAGGCTTCTCCCGTTTTTGTCTTTTGGTCTGATAAACCCTACTTTTCCTGGGGTTCTGATAAACCCTATTAATTTTCTTTGGGTTTTTGTTTTATCTCCTTTTCCTTAAGCAGGAATTTTTATCCAAATTGAAATCACTCAGTCTTTTGCATTCCTTTGGCTGCATGCCTGGTTTCCCACCAAAGACAATATGGATGTTGTTTAGAAACTGAAACGCTGTGGTGAGTTCCTTTTTCTATATTTCCTCTTACTTTGGATTTGATGTTCAGAATTAGAACCTGGTTCCTGGTTTTGCATAAATTAGTGCATCTTGTATTGCATAAACCAATGCATTGTTTTTCATAGGGGAGCATTAAGTTTAGGAGTTTGGGAGTGTTGAAAATAGTTGAATGTGGAGATAGAATGGCTGCTGATTTTTATGCTTTTTTTTTTCTCTCGAGATTTTTGGTCTGTGTTAGGCTTCTAAATGGCGGTTTGTGGGCTTATTGTTTCATGTTTTTAAAGTAACTTTGAATGTTGATGGGTTGTATGTGCACTTTTTTTTGTTTTTTTTGTTTTTGGGGCAAATTCAGATTGTTATTGACAGTGTAGTGTTTGATGAAGTGCCTCTTAGATGAATTGGGTGCATTTATGTCATATAATATTGTTATTTCCATGTATCAGATTCAGCTATGATGTCCGGGTTTATTCATTTTATGTTTAGGCATCTAATGATTTGATATTTAATATTTAGGCATGTTCAAAATTATAGATCATTCTACTCAACTCACATATAAACTTCATTTTGATCTTTTGTGCTCCTACAGTTCCTATTGTGTTTCTAATATTTCTACTATTCAACTCATGTTAAAACTGTGTGCCACTTGTTGGGTCTCACAATAAACTGGGCTGTACTGGAACAAAAAGAGAGTGACTGAGAGATTCAGTCACTGGTTGAAGAATTTTAGTTAAGATTTAGAACATTAGTTGCTGACTTGAAGGATGCTGTGATTTTGGAAGTGAGCATTGAATTAGTTATGATTTTACACTGGTGGATTAATTATGACGCAATTGAAATATTACAGCAATATTGCAATATGCATGGAAGGCATTTCTGAAATGGAGCGTTACATAACCATGTGCTCATGCATCCTATGTCCTGAACATAAATTGTTTGAATTTTTTCCTATTTGTATGCATAAATATTACATTATCTTCTTTCTTACACAGAGATATCCTCCGTTGTATAGCAATTGGTATGTCTTTGGTCTTACTTGCATTTATTTTCCGGGGCAGTGAAAATTGCTTCTTGTTTGTCCTTAATGTTCAACTGTGATACCACAAGTGCCAGAATTGGAAGTATCGTAGGTTTTCTTGGGATTTAAAAAAAAATGATTTTCTTGTTACAGATGCAACTAGTCGGAGAAACTACAGCAACCAATTCTATTCAGTACTGGATCCTAGTATGCTTGTTAACCACAGAGAAGTTCTCAACCATTCTCGTTGCTCTATGAGATTTGCTTCATCTGGAGGTTATTCTGTTCTTCACTCAAGTGGTCTTCAGCACTGGTTCAAAAATTGGCAAGGACTTAGAAAACATAAACTGACAGCTAGCACTTTTGCTGCGGCCATTGGTTTTTTTCATCGCCGAAGACTCCAGCTTTGGTTAGAGAAGATTGGAGCAATTGAGCCATTTTCGGGTAACCTGGCTACGTGTTGGAGCAATATCAAAGAAGAGGAAGCACTTGAAAGATACAAACTAATAACAGGAAATTCTGTCTTGTTTCCTGAATTTCAAGTCTATGGTAATAGAAATGCTGGAGATGATTGGCTAGGAGCTTCACCAGATGGGGTGGTTGATAGACTGGTATACGGATTGCCTTCACGAGGAGTGCTGGAGATTAAGTGCCCATTTTTCGATGGAAATATGAAAAAGGCTACCCCTTGGTCACGAATTCCTCTATATTGTGTTCCACAGGCTCAGGGTTTAATGGAAATACTCGACAGGGATTGGATGGATTTCTATGTTTGGACTCCTAAAGGGAGCAGCCTCTTCAGGGTATACCGAGATGCAGAATACTGGGATGTTTTGAAAATGGTTCTCTCAGATTTTTGGTGGAACCATGTCCAGCCAGCAAGGGAGATCTGCAGTAAGTCTCAGATTACAGATCCCCTCGTTGAATTAAGATCGCTCAAACCAGCACCCAGGCATGAAATGTGTAGTTATATAGTTTATGAAAGCAAACGTGTTGTTGACAGCTCCAAGTTATTGATGCGTGAAATCAATGGCAAACTGATAAACTGATGCATCTTTAACCACAATTTAGGCCTTTCAAATTAATTGGTTCTGAGGATATGGGATTAACCACGTCAAGTTGCTGGAATATGGCTTTCATGTGTTTAGTAATTGATGTAAATTCCTACCGCCAGTATCATCATAACTTTTGCCTAATTAGTGTAAGAGGAATGTACGTTGCTACATGAGGTAGATTTTGATAGGATGAATATCCCGGCTATAGTCATTGTATGATAACAGAAAAGAAAGTAAAAAGTTTGATTTCTGCAGGATTGAAGAAGTATAGACCGAAGATTGTTAGTTGAGGCGCTGATCATGCTGTGGAGAAACTCAAACAGGTGATTTTTTTTCTTCTTAAATTCTCTTTTCTTTATTTTTTTATGTTCAATATTCACGCGAGGCACCTATCATATTTGATGTTGAGCTTGAAACACAATACCTATTAAGTTTACTTAGTCGTCCCTGTCATCATTTGCAGGAACAGCTTGCATTTGCCTTTCAAACTATCAAATTACTGCTGGAAAATGAAAAGCAAGTTAAAGTTGTTTATGATTTAACTTACCCAGAAGTTTTGCTCTTGAATGAGCAGGGGCAGTTCTTTTGGGCTCTGGAATAATTATTCTGACTCCAGCCCATTCTGATAGTACATGATGAAGGGGTACTGAGCTCATTTGCACTATCAAGTTGGAGCCAACTAGTTTCACTTTTCATCGATAAACTTTGAAGGCATTTGTTAGAAAGCAACTAGATGAAAACGATACTAGGTTCGTATTTACATGCTTTAACATATATATATTATCTTGTATTGAATTCTTGACCAGAGTTGAACGGTGCGGCGTAACGGCATTTGTTGTGTTATATATTTTCTACTTATGTAAAGAGGGGGGTATTTCAGTTTTGCCTGGTTAGATGTTTTAGTGATGTATTGAACAAAATATTTGTGATTTGTGACATGGTGGATGAAGTTTCACCATTATTATTCGAGGCCATACTTTTACTAGGTCGCTGAGGAAATAGGATTTTATAGGAAAATTTGGAAAGCAAAAAGTTGCAAGAAATTGAGTATATTTTGGCAGAATTTCAAGACAGATTCTTGGTGTTCTTGTGCTTTTCTGTTTTTGATGTTCGTTTGTTCCGTTTGTTCTGTTTTGTTTCCTCTGTGCCCGTCGCCCTTTTGGGACTTTAGTTGGCGTTATGGGCTTTCTGACTTGTGCTGGTCCAGACCCACCTAGTCACACCTTGTTTTGTTTTTTCTTGTAATTGTTGTTGTGCCTACCATTGTTTGTTGTCACTGTTATGGTGTCTTTATCTCCGTATCCTCTTTCTCGTATGGCCTGGTCTTTATGCATTGAGGATATGGGCTTTGGCTCAATTTCATCTTCTCCTAGCTTATTTGACGACTTGTGCTGGTCAAGACCCACCTAGTCACACCTTGTTTTGTTTTTTCTTGTAATTGTTGTTGTGCCTACCATTGTTTGTTGTCATTGTTATGGTGTCTTTATCTCCGTATCCTCTTTCTCGTATGGCCTGGTCTTTATGCATTGAGGATATGGGCTTTGGCTCAATTTCATCTTCTCCTAGCTTATTTGACCATTCAATGGTATTCTCTCCTTGTAAGATTCAAATTCTTCGATGATTTTTCAATCTCATTTCTTGGATAAATCCGAGACAAAAATAGTTATAATACTTCTTTTTAAACAAATGATATTGAGGAAGGGAGGTTTTCTCGCATACATAGCCAATGTGCTATGAGAGTTCGAACTTAGCATCACTGATATGCAAGTCAACCCTTTTCACGGGCCTAGACCCTTTATAATACTAGTATGACGTTTTTTTTATTCTTACATGAGAGGAAGGAAGCACACTTAAATCGTGTACTAACAAAATAGACTATTTGGATCGTGAGACAATATTGTCAATTAGACCCTAATAATGTTATACTTTTCTCAAAACTAAGGCATATCCATGATTAGAATAATAAGTCCGGAAGGTCTCGGCCCAGATTAGAAGTTAGTTGTTTTAGCCTTTTGCCACCACGTGACCCAAAAAAAGAGAGGCATATCCTTGCCTCATTACATATAAAATTAGCTGAATAAAAAATCACAAATGAATATTCTCAATTTCACAAACAGCTAAAAGAAGTACATAATTTAGTAACTTTTACTTCAATACATAAATATTTATTTAAAGTAAGCAAACTTTTAATTAGACTTTCCAAGGATAAGCAAGATGAGCATCACCACCCACCAAGCCATGTTTTATTTCTGTTTTCGGAATTTGGAGTGGAGAGATTGGAAAAAAAGAAAGAAGAGAAAAGTGCTAAACAACTACAAACCAACACAACCTACTTAGCTTTATATCCTATCAAATCAAAAGAAAACACATCAAAGCTGATGTGTTTAACAAATACTTGATAGAGGTTGAGCACCGACAAATCTAATTGATAATCTCCAAGACTATGGAAATCCAGATCAAATGTGGAGGGATTGTGTGTCTCAATGTCACTGATCCAACTCTACACATGGAAGCAAATGATACATCATACATGGGTACCCTCCAAAACATTTTGTCTCCCCTCCCTTTCATATTCTAATAATCTTTTTCCACTTTTATTTGCACACATTTTTCTAATAATCAAAGGTCTCAAAATGTCACACCTTAGCACAAGTCCAGAACAATGTAGAAGCATATATATTTATTAGTGTGGTTGAACAAGATAAGGTTTTCATGATATTGGATGGGCCATTAGCATCAAGAGAATCAAATTAAAAATATAATTTTTTTTTGTTTTGTTTTGTTTTAAAAAAAAACCCATTGGATATATCAATGTCTATCATCATTATGAGAGAAAGTGGTAAATATAAAATAATTATGGAGAAAAAAGAAAAGATGCAATTGAAATAATTTTTTGTGCGATTTCAGAATGCCTTGTAATGTTTTGTCTCCTCTCATTTTGTGATGTTGTGGCATCTGGCAAGCGAGCAGAGCTTAATACAAACACTTTCTCATCATCAAATGTAGTCCAGTTATCATTCCACTTTTTTTGGACCCAATAACAAAATTCAAACTCCACATCACCATAAAACCGTGTAGAGGGTATATAGACAGGCACGTACATGTACTAGCTAAGCAATTTGGACCTTAAGTCTATCGTCCATAAGGTGGTGTAGAAAGCCAGAAATGTCATCATTTTTATTTCCAACAAACAGGAAAGTGATGTGTCTAGGTAATGTATCCAAACTTTCCATCCAAAGTGCTTGAATGAAATCAATACAAAATGTTACGATTGTTTACCAACGTAAGGTGTTATGTCGTCAAGTTGTGAATCTCGATTATTAATCAAGTTAAGTTTCCATGAATTAATGTATAATTTAGATATATATATATATACATACAGAGAGCTTCCATTGAGGGATCCCTCAAATTAGCTTATTTGAGGGACATTTTTGTAAGGCCTACTCCATATTGTATTTCACTAATCCAAATTGTCTATTTTGTAGATACTTATTCAAAAATCATTTCTATAAAAAATCACTTGAATCCGATATCATTTGACCACTCAATTGAATGATTGAAATTTTAGTACTTTCTTAAAGCACCCTATTCATTGATTTTGTATGACACAATTGGATATTGAAACGGTTTACGATTTGCCTAATTTTTTTATAAGGATAATTTATGAATGTAGACTTAAAAAATAGATGGTTTGGATCGTTGAAAAAACATTCGTAGAGTACCCTAAAAAGTGTCCCTCAATATAAAAAAAAAGGACTGTATATATACACACACGTAGTTCCGCCAATGTTGAAAATAAACATGCTAACTTAACATGCGTAGGCATTGCATCATCTCAAATTTCTTAGTGGTGGGTTGGTAAAATCATTCTAATTAGTGCAAAAGTAGGAGTAACATTAATATAGTCCTTTAGACCTTTTTCACTATATATGATGACAGAAGCATTGCGAAATTCTGGTCACTTGAGCATTGGCTGATAAGAATTCAAATTTGGTATGGATTATTGGTGATTTGAGAACATACTATAATAAGTTTGAAAAAGTAGTATTTCTATTGAATATGCACTCATTGGCGCATTGATTCATTTTCATTCATCAGATTAATGAAGACTAAATAAAGCTTGAGAGCAAGACAGAGGGACCCAAAATCCACTCATCTCAGACAGCAATGATTCCAGTACAGTCCATGAGCAACCGGCCTATGATTCTGTGACCGCCCCAGTGAGAAAAACAAACCCAAAAAATAAATAGTAAAGAAAACTCCCTTTACAAAAGTGATTGAGAAATGAACAGAAAAATAATAATAATAATAATAACATGCATAACAACTTCTTCATTTTCCTCTTCAATCTCGGAAAGAAAAAGAAAGAAAAAAGCATTATCTGGCAGCCCCTCTCTCTCTTGTTAAACAATGGTTTCCAAATTGGGTTCATCTTTTTCTGTGTTGCTGTCCTCCCAATCCATTCACTCCTCCACTACCTCTTTATTTTCTCGTTCTATTTTGGAGACAATCATTGTTTAAGGGGACATGCTCCATTCTTCTTGCATGTGCAATTTTTTATTATGCACTTTATACCTTTATCTTGTGTTTTTTTTTTCCTTAGTGATTCTATCTATCTATTTGTTTTCTTTTGTCTTTCTGTTTTTGGGAAGAAGAAAGGGAGAATTTAAAAAACAAAAACGAATAAATTAAGCTAGATGGAGATGGACATGAGTAGATTAGTTTGTTTATGCTATATATTATTATGTTCTGCACACACAATGCCTTTCGAATTTCTTATTAAACCTTAGCTACATTATAGTATTATACCTTTATCCACGACTCAAAAACCCGTGGGCTATCAAATGACCTGCCTGGTACATGAACTTGGAGTCAGGTTTACTTAATTTGATCCACGGATAAGTAACACATTTCAAATTGTGCTACGATTAAAGTCACAAATGAAATATGAGTTGAAATGAAAGTTGAGATAAGAAATGAAAACTCGATACGCATTTAAATTTCTTAACTTCGTATCAACTCTATTTTAATTTGGTGAATTCCGCAACAAATTAAATTTTAAGCATGCACTCGATAATAATTAAGGATGGATCGAATCACGAATAGGAACTAGTTATAATAAAATTTGTCCGACAAAAATCGTCATATCTATTGATATTCATATGAAACCTCCTAGCCAATTAACGATTAGGTATTTGAGTGATTGTGACGTGATTTGGTGAGCAGTACGCATTCCATTCCACTCACCACTGCGTTGACTGGAGTTATGACTCAGCGGATGTTGATAGTGACACGTGGACTGAATTATACATTCATCACCATCCAAATCTCAAACATTGTCGTACCGCGTCCTTTTGTCCACGCATTTGGCAGCGAGTGGATAGAAAGGCTGGCGCAACCGCGTTTTGAAGCTTATTTGCTCAAAGTCAGAGCCGTATTATGACCGGGGAATTGCTGCCCCACGCGCTAGTTGAAACGCATGAAAGGGTGTGGCCCACGAACCCTTGTTGTCTAGCGAGAGCGCGAGAGGAAGTGACTTGTGGCGATTTGAGTCGCGCTGAAAAATTGGAAGGACACGTAAACTATTATGGACTGCTCCTGACCCAAAAAGAAGCCGTCATGTACTCGTCAGCATGATGTCAAATTTTGAACAATTTTAAGATTTATTAATTTACACGGAAATAAATTTTAAATCGATTTGTAAATTAATTTATTAATAGCATAGGATAGCATTTGCATTTTTCAGTGACCAACATAAAATTTTGTGTAAAATTCAATGACAAAAAATGTGTTTAACCCAACAACTTAACGAAAATTGTAAATTTTGAATAATACAACGACCAACTTGGTTAATTTTTTTTTCTCGATGACCAAATTGAAACTTTGGGTAAAATCTAGTGATCAAAAATATATTTAACCCTATATATATATATATATTCCTTATATTCAACTTTAAAAGGAAAAAAAACAAGTTGTTCATTCCTTATAAGGAATATTTGTCACTGTTTGAAAATAAAAAAATAAAAAAACAAAAAAGGGCACTGAGTTTGAATTTTGAATGTGAACGAGTATT